ACAACAGTTCAATAAACAAGAAGTTAATATTGAGTGACTTATATTTTAGTATTTCTAGTTACCTGCTCAAAAATAGTTCCAAATGAGGTCAAAGTAGAATCATCTGCTGTGCATCTCAGAACAAACACACCACAGTGGTGTTTATTTGCTGAATGAATCAACATTTTGAACAAATCATTGATTTGTTGATTCACTGACTCATAATGACAGTATCTGGCTACCAAATTGCATACTGTCTAGTAGTTACTACATGTGGTTTGAAACATACTTTGCAACCATTAAAAAAGTATGTTCTATATAGTATGAATATGGGTAATGAAATTCAGACGTACTACATTTGCCACGTTTTCACTGTCATGTGACCTACCAGTGTCAGTTGCGTTGCTTCACTGGCATTCGCAATTCCTCTCCGGTGGCTTCATGGGATTGTAAAGTGTCTATTTAATGCGCACTGCAGAATCTCTGCGGAAGTAGTAGGTACTTTTCTCATACTGTCGTCTTCTGATTACTATGAATTCAGACTTACTACTCTTTTGGCATACTGTTTTTCACTTTCTGTTTAGTATGAAAGTAGACATTCGGATCGGATGCAGCAAGTTACTTGTCGCCACCTACTGGAGTATCCTGTAACTTGACAGGCTGTGGTGAATGCGCAAACAAAACCAGCAAAAAGTCCCAGTGTTGTTAGCATCATTCAACCAATCAAATTAGAGTACTATACTTGTAGGAAAGAAAACGATTCAAGTCACTTTTATTTATATAGCACTTTATACAATGCAGATTGTGTCAAAGCAGCTTTACAGTGTTAAACAGGATAATAGTGTGTCGATAATGCAAGAGGACAATAGTAAACATTGATTCAGTGATGTCAATGACAATTATATTAAAGTAATAGATATGTCAAAAATATTATACAGACTTAACCTGCATGCTATACTGCTGAGTCCTGCACATGACAAGTAGAAAAAAAATATTGTGGACACAAATTAAGTATTAGTTCTCACAACTTGTTCATTCATAGCCACATTTTATTAATACATTCTCATAAATTGTGACTAAGTTGTAATAAATTGTTCACTCATTTTAATTTAGTTTAACAAGGGAATGTATAAGTATATGGCCGTGATTTAACTGAAATGAAGGAACAACTTATTAATTAATAAGTTAACTATAGTACTCTAATATAGTACACAACTTATTAATTAATAAGTTGTGGGAATTAATTTTTAATTAGTGACCACAATATATTTTTCCCCCAGCATGTCATATGTGGGGCTCTGCTATCTGCTTTCCGACGCTCATATGTACGGTGGCCGTGAAGTGCAAAGCAAATCACAATTCTGAAAACAAAATAACAAATTACAAACGCAAATGCAAGTCTAAAAAACAAAATAACAATTCAGAAAGCACAACAACAATTCAGAAAACATTATAACAAGTCAGAAAACATTATAACAAGTCAGAAAACACTCGAACCCGGGTCGATCGCGTCAAAAAGCCAATGATGAGCGCTTATCTATCTGCGCCACTGAAGCTGATGCTTTACAGCCACTTTTAACTAAATGTAAATAGACACTCCTTATTTTTTATTCCATAGTAAGGGCAATTCATACAATACATTTAAACTGAGCTACTTTAATACCATCTCCGAACTTTCTACCACGACTCTGCTGTTCTTCGGCTGGTTCTTCCCTGTATACGGTGATTGACAGATGTCTCGTCCAGTCAGCGGTGAGTAATCCCAAACCAATGGCGCTGTCTCAAACTATACCTACCTCTTCCGGTTTGTCTGATTTGTCGTTGTGTTTTTTGACTTCTTAATTTGTTTTCGGATTTGTCGTTGTGTTTTCTGACTTGTTATTTTGTTTTCAAATTTGTCATTGTGTTTTCTGACTTGTTATAATGTTTTCTGAATTGTTATTTTGTTTTTTAGATTTGCATTTGCGTTTGTAATTTGTTATTTTGTTTACAGAATTGTGATTTGCTTTGCACTTCTCGGCCACCGTACATATGTATATTTTTGCCCACATGCTTTGGTAAGATAGCTAGTGTCTCGCATGCAGCTGTGCCTATAATGATCAAAGTAACGTCTTGGTTAAAATGCCTGTCCTGGCAAGGTATTAATGTAAAAGCAGTTGGTTAGCTCTTAAATTCTAACAAACAAAAGTTGTCTTATGTTTTTGTGTAAAAATATTGAATCAGTGAATTGGGTGAGTGTGTGTGCATTCTCAGACCTGAAATCTCAGGTTTATGGTGAGGATCACGAATAACAGGCATGTGGAATATTAACAAACTTTCCCTGCTTGTCCAGCTGGCATGCCTTGAGAATGCCCACAGATGTTGTTTTGTTGGCTGTACAGGTGGTTTGCGCTGCCTTTGGCTCTGTTTGGTTCGATTTCTTTTCAAGGCTTCAGCACTCCTAATCAGCACTAGATGCTGAGCTTGTAGAGTTGCAGGTGGATTGTATGTGTGTGTGTGTGTGTGTGTGTGTGTGTGTGTGTGTGAGTGTGTGTTTGTGTGCA